GATTTTCGAAACTGTAAAAGACTAACTAGCTTGTGTGGTTCTCAGTCGCAGAAAAGACTAGGATAATGAAAATGACCAGTGATCGGTGATTTAACGTAACAGCTTGCTTCTCATGCCAGGTAACTGTTTCAGATCGTCTGACCTTTTAGATGTTTTTTAACTAGAAGATTATAGAAGTTTAAAGCTAAGTGGACAGAGCACTGGGATCGGAAAGACTGTTTCTGAGACAATGAAGTGGCTTAAATGTAAGAAATACTTTTATGCAACTGACCTAACAGATCTAGATTAAGAAATCTCAAAGTAATGTAGATTGGGAAAATGAAACTTTAGGAACACCATGAATACGAATTGTTAAAGTGAAAATACAGTGAAGATTCTCAACAGCTTATTGACCGGGACCGGATCCTTGCTACTTTGTAATGATTTTTTCCCAAGATTGTATCCTGCAGTGTTCCGAAAGAGCATTAGAAAAAACCAAGGAGACACAGCCTTCTAAACTGATCCTCGTGAGCATTTTTCTTTTTCTTTTAATACTCTCCTTTGTCTCGTTAGTCTGCGAAAAAGCGAGGAACAGAATTTCTAATATACCGAAGTCAATGTCAAAGGAATGGTGGGCACATTTTCCTTAAAACTTATTTAGAACTGTAGAATATTGCTACTGGGAGCGGGTTTTCAAATTGAACAAAGGTAAGTGTGCCTGTCACAGAAAACTGTATAAGGACTATTCTTTTTAATCGCCTTAGATTTCTACGTTTCCTTACTTGTTCTGTCGTCCCCTTGGCAAGGAGACCGATATAAAAAGTGGCCCAAAATACTTCCCTTTCACGTGTTTTGGCTAGGCTGGTTTACACCTTCTAACGGGAAATAATTATTCCTACTATAACCTCGATTTTAAATTAGCGGCGCCGCTGTTCTGAAATAAGAATTGCACACCTTTCTAACAGCTATTTTCTGCCGGCACTTAGGATGTTCTGCTTGTTTCCCAAAAACCGACAAAATAAGCAAATGTTATTTAGCTTAATTGTTTTCTAGCCATAACCACAAATACCGCAAGGAAAGAACTTGCACGGTTTTCTGCAAGTATCCAAAACACAAGAACGCTAACACAATTCACATAACGTAAAAAGCTGCAATGCAACTTGTCCTTTCGTTAGGCAGTATTAACAGCTCTTATTATGAAAGTTTGGGTGGCTCTTAAAAGAGCCTTTGTGTTTTTCTGTCGTTTTAAAATTGCCTTAAGATTTAGCCTCCGAATCCATAGAGAGTGCGACCCTGGCGTTTCAGAGCATACACTACATCCATGGCAGTGACAGTCTTCCGTTTAGCGTGCTCAGTGTAAGTCACAGCATCTCGAATTACATTTTCCAGGAACACTTTCAGCACCCCACGGGTCTCTTCATAAATCAACCCAGAAATACGCTTTACACCACCGCGACGAGCCAAGCGACGAATAGCCGGTTTCGTGATACCTTGAATGTTATCACGAAGCACCTTCCGATGGCGCTTAGCACCTCCCTTCCCGAGTCCCTTTCCCCCTTTGCCACGACCAGACATTCTGCTACTGATGAATCACACAACGCGATTGAGCCCACAAACACTTGCACTCGCCTTATATATTCGATGAGCCGACCTGAAAGAAAACTCGGATGAAAAGTGGCGCGATGTCTATTGTTCTTTCCTTCTTCCGCTCTCTTGTTGCTGTTAGATTGAGAGGCTGTTTATTAACCCCTTTTGTTCCTTTCTCCTACCGCACTCACCATTGTATGTACGTTACATAATTTATACTCCGCAAATTTTCTGATTATATTCCAATTATATTTTATACCAAGACTCACTATCGATTCCAACCTGTAATGATTCCTACATCTACTGAATCCAAATTTATGACAATATCTGCTACTCTCTGAATTGCTTAAACCAAGAGTCTCTTTAAAATTGCACTTTTTCTTTTCTATTACTGTAGTTTTTCTATCTGGGCGGTATTCAGATGACAGTGCTTCATATTTGTCGATATTTTCTTTGGACAATACTTCTCTGATTATTCAGTGACTTGTACTCTGCGGCAAAAACTGGCCAATCAGGTTTTGCCTCCATTTTGGAGCGTACACAATTTGATAAGTAGAGTTATTTATAATTTATCATACGGCATATCCATATTTCGTAATTTTTTCCATTTAGAGGTATTTTTATTCTTTTTTTCACTATGTACAAAAGAGTTACTTAATTTGAACGACTGCAGAAATAATCAGAAAATAGGACTCCTTTCCCATTCCACAGAAAGGAAGACATTCCTCTTCTTCACAGGCATAAATTGTTTTCTTCTCTGGAGAGTTGAGTTTCTAAATTGCAAATGTAGAAACTGAGAAAAATACTTTAAATTACTACTGTATTATATGCATTGACATTTCAAAACAATGCAATTTAGCTATGAATCTGCTGCTCTTTACAAAGCATGGATGGGCAAGATTAGAAGGCATTTCTCAAAAACACAAAGAAATCTGTCTTTTCCTCTTTCTCATTCTCTATTGCCCTCTGATGGAAATTCATTTTCAATCTATACAAGTTGTAAAAGACATAAAAATTGGTTTATCATTCAGTACTTACTGCTAATAAATAATTAATATTAGATAATAATTATAATTAATCATAATTAATACAAGAAAATAAACAATTACCATGTAAAAATAATATTAGAGAGACAGAGTGTGTGACATAATATCTTTTATTGGATCAATTTCTGTTCCTGAAAGAGACAAACTTTATTTGCGATCAGTCTTTTGACAGTATAAACTGTCCATTAAAATATATCATGCCACCCACCTTGTCTGTCTAAGATCCAAAGACCAACTCACCTTGCAAACAACCACAAAGTATACTTTTCTGTTAAACATGAAAAACAACAAATGGTCTGGTAGCACTTTATAGACTAACAAAACATGTAAATGGTATCATTAGGTTTCATGGGCACAGCCCACTTCTGGTCATCTGAAGAAGTGGGCTGTGCCCATGAAAGCTCATGATACCATCAACATGTTTTGTTAGTCTTTAAAGTGCTACACAGCAGGGGTTCTCCAGCTTTGTGATACTACGACGCCCCTCTAAGTTGCTTGCGATCCCCCTCTAAGTTGCTGCAACCCCCCTCTAAGTTGCTCGCAACCCCCCGGGGGGGTCGAGACCCACAGTTTGAGAAACGCAGCTATACAGACTAACTCGGCTATCCCCGAAGTTATTTTTCTGTTGTATAAGCTTATTAAGTGTTATTCTCAACAGTATTTCTATGTAAGTATGCATGCATGCATGTGTGTGTGTGTGTGTGTGTGTGTGTGTGTGTGAGATACATTTTTAGTATCACTTCAAATCTATTCCAAAATTCCAGGGATTGTTATAAGGATCAATATCCAGAAACATAAATATTTGGGGGTAAAACTGGAAACCAAGAGAGGTAATGGGAGATCCATTCTTTTTCCCAGCCACAGTTTCAAAGATACCTGCAATTGGCTGTAGCTCAAATAAGAAGTTGATGGCATTCAGGAATGCTTTCAGACATAATACCTGTAGCTGAGTGCCATCCATTCCCTCACCAGCATTTAATGTGTAGACACCATAGAGTAATTATCACCCATATGGGGGAGAAAGAATAATGGCACAGAGGAGTGAGGTGGGAGGAGAGGAAGGAGTGAGGAATAATGTAGTTCAAAGAGCCTCTGGCATGGAGGGGAGATATAAGGGAAGGGACAAACAGGGCACGCAGAACCCCTGGGGATGAAGGAGATTTGGGGGAATCTTGGTATGGGACAGGGGCAAAGAGGAATACATAGCCCCTACCTCCCCGTTTAGCATAAGAACATGAGAACAGCCATACTGGGTCAGACCAAAGATCCATCTAGCCCAGTATCCTGTCTGCTAACAGTGGCCAATACCAAATGCCCCAAAGGGAAGGATCACAACACGTAATCCTAATGTGATCTCTCCCCTGTCACCCACCTCTGGAGAAACAGAGGTTAGGGAGACCATTTCTACCCATCCCTGGCTAATAGCCATTGATGGACCTAACCTCCATGAATCTATCTAGCTCTTTTTTAACCCTGTTAAAATTCTAGACTTCACCTCATAATCTGGCAAGGAGTTCCACAGGCTGACTGTGCACTGAGTGCAGAAAACTTCCTTTTGTTTGTTTTAAACCTGTTGCCTATTAATTTCATTTGGTGACTCCTAGTTCTTTTATTGTGGGACTAAGTAAATAACTTTTCCTTATTCACTTTTTCCATACCAGTCATGATTTTATAGACCTGTAATATACCTTCCCCTTAGTCTTCTCTTTTCTAAGCTAAAAAGTCCAAGTCTTTTTAATCTCTCTTCATATAGGACCTGTTCCAAACCCCTAATAATTTTGTTGCCCTTTTCAGAACATTTTCCAATGCCAATATATCTTTTTTTGAGATGAGATGACCACATCTGTATGAAATATTCAAGATGTGGGCGTACCATGATTTTATATAGAGGCAATAAGATGTTCTCTATCTTATTCTCTATCCCTTTTTTAATGACTCCTAACATTCTATTTGTTTTTTTTTTTTAATGCTGCTGCACGCTGATGGATGGATGTTTTCAGAGAACTATACACAATACTCCAACTCCAACTACTCTCTTGAGTAGTTGTAGCCAAATTAGTCTCCATCATATTCTATATATAGTTGGGATTATTTTTTTTCCAATGTGAATTACTTTACATTTACCAACATTAAATTTCATTTGCTATTTTGTTGCCCAATCACTTAGTTTGGTGAGATCTTTTTGAAGCTCTTTACAGTCTGCTTTGGTCTTAGCTTACATGAGCAGTTTAGTATCATCTGCAAATGTTGCCCCCCTCACTGTTTACCCATTTCTCTAGATCATTTATAAGTAAGTTGAATAGGATGGGTCCCAGGACACACCTTTGGGGCACCCCACTAATTATCTCTCTCCTTTCGGAAAACTTACCATTTATTCCTACCTTTTATTTCCTGTCTTTTAACCAGTTATCAGTCCATGAAAGGATTTTCCCTCTTATCCCATGACAACTTACTTTACTTAACCAAAAAACAGGACTATGTAGCACTATAAAGACTAACAAGATGGTTTATTAGGTGATGAGCTTTCGTGGGCCAGACCTACTTCCTCAGATCAAATAGTGGAAGAAAATTGTCACAACCATATATACCAAAGGATACAATTAAAAAAAATGAACACATAAAGCTACAACACAACAGCTTCTGGCCTAAAAAAAGCTCTACACCAGCAGCTTGGCTCCTCTCTCCAAAAATGAAGCCTAAACTAACTCTCTTTCTGCATAGCCCTGGAAGAGGTACGTTCCCCCTTTTTCCCAAGGGCTCATAGTCTCTAGGGCTAGACTGCAGCAAAAAGGATCCTGCCAATAAAAGTCAGAGGCCCCTTTAATAAGGGACTACAATAGATTATAGGTGTTTCTGTTTTGGGGAGCCAAGTTGAAACACCTCAGAGTTAATTTTCAGATGTTGGTTTTCTTAGCACTTTCTGAGCATGATGGCCTTTTCTGATGTCTTACCCCAAAACTGTTCCTAGTCACATTTCAACATTTAAATTTTCAAAATCTGATACTGACAACTTCTTGGGGAAAAGCCTTGACAATGTCATAACCATTAAAATCATTTAGAATATTGCACAATATCTTTGGGACATTACAATCTGGTGTATTTACAACTAGTCCTGTGAATTATGCATTTACAGAAAGAAAAATATGTCACCATTTTGGAGATAATAGTTTGCTAAAATCATGAAGAGCTAAAAAAGAAGCACTCCATATTTTTGTACCAAGTTCAAAAAGAAAAGAAAAAATCTCTGGGTCTAGCAAACTAATAATAATAACTTTCAATTGTTAAATGCCCTTTATAAACATACTAACCAATTAGCTGGTCATAAGACAGGATTTTCAGGTCTCACCTCCACGTCGGTCTTCTCTCCGGAGCCTCTGGTCTCTCGCTCCATCTCGCTTCGTCTCTCTTTCTCTTCCTCCTACTGCCTCCCCCTCTCTCTCTCAGCTCTCCTCTGCCTTCTGCCTCTCTCTCCATCTATCTTTTTCTTCTCCCCCTCCTGCCTCTCACTTTCTCTTTCTCTTCTCCTCCTCCTCCTACTGCCTCTCACTCTCTCTCCGCTCTCCTCTGTCTCCATTGGAGATGCACGCTCGTCCAGGCCCTGCCCCCTGGGTGTGTATATCACCTCCCCACCCCCCTTCTCCTCCCTCCGTGGTGCTAGGCTGATTTCTGCTCCACTCAGTCAGGCCGCTGCGTGGGAACAAGCAGCACAAATGGCCTCTCTTCTCCTCCTACTGCCTCGCTCTCTCTCTCTCTCTCTCAGCTCTCATCCATCTCCTGCCTCTCTCTCTGCCTCTCTCTCTTTCTCTTCTCCCCCTCCCGCTTTTTACTCTGTGTTTCTTTTCTCCTCCTACTGCTGCATCTCTTACTCTCTCTGGGTATGTCTACACTACAAAGTTAGCTCGAACTAACGGACGTTAGTTCGCACTAACTTTAATAGGTGCTACACTAGCGCTCCGCTAGTTCGAATTTGAATCGAACTAG